AATAATTCAATTGATGCGTTATTTGATCTCGTAATTATGAAGAAGTGGCGACATATCATATCATGATCAATATGATTCCATACCCATGCATGGCAGTTTGGAACATTAAATCGAGGCCTTGGAGTACGATTCAGTGCCGATTTCCGGCAGAAATGATCACCAGTGTTGAAATTCAGTGGGTACGTAGTCATATGGATCCAATACTCAGTACAAGTGATATCGTGCGGGGTCGGTGGTGGAATTTGTTTGGGGCATGCAGGATCTGGAAGCAACAGGTGTGAAAATTTCCCAAGAGAGTAAGAATCCAAGCCTATCTGAGTGATATCATAGTGATCCCATTGTAGCCCCGTGACCTCTAAACGAGTGTCTGATTACGGACGAAAAGGTCTGTGGAGTTTTTAAAGTTTCCTTCATGAATGACTTCTTTTAATAGCCACCGAATCTTTTCTTAGAAACCCCCAAACCTCGTGTTTGTTGAATATATGTGAAGTTGATACAGGTATCTTGCTAACTCGTGGAATTGCACGTACGTATACATCATATGTGCACTTATCATCGTGCAAAAATAAGTGCACGATTTTCTTTGCATTCACGGCTCTTCCCATAAACCTTGATCAGAGAAAAACGTCGTGTCTCAATTCCTGTACACAGGATACGGATATTTTTGGAAATACTGTGTTGAAGGCTGAAGAAGCACGCCATAATGTTCGCTTGTTTGCCTTTGGATATCGAAACTTACTTCTTGGAGACAAATATTGATGTGTAGTGGCCCGCAAAATTGCCAATGATTGAATTGGTAAGTCTCCGACACCGCAGTTTTTTTACTATTTCTGATATCATACATGCGTACACCACATCCCAAAAGTTTCGATTGAAAACTGTAGTGTCCACACAATCGACCATATGAGAATTGATATAGGTTTAACGTCCTGTGTGATGGGATAGTTTAGCGAGCTGGTATCAGTCAATTGAGATGGATGTATCGGGAAAATTCAATAATTGCACCTTGTGGTCAGGTCAGAGGTTCTTATTATTATATCTTTGATCCTTTGATTATCTAGTGCTTGTCAGACGGGATTACCCGTGACAGTTAATTGTGTACTACTCCATATACTTGGCTGGTACGTATAGTCGTAACTCGACATCCCTCTCATCCTCTGACAACGCCTCGTCAACACCGCCAAGACTTGACGAGAGCGGGGTATCCTCTCTAATAAAGACTTTTCTTTGGCTTCACCACCAAAGATTAGTCGCACCGATCCTTTTCCTCCCATGACTCGGGTCACATAAAAAGGAGTGACATTTCGCACGATCGCCTGGAGAGCCTTCGTCAACCTCATCCTAGTTCTTGTATTCATTGACAAGAACCCCACCACTCTGGGGACCTTTCATACAGGTCCCTTTCGGTCGCAAACACTACTCTCACTTCGAGGCAACATGCCCTCACCCGCACAACTAAAGTCCCACTGAGGGCACCTCGGCATGATGCCACTGTCAGACTTTTGCCTTTTCATTTGTGTTATCTGGAATTTTTTTTTCATTTTTTCTTAGGCGGGGGTTTCCTTAGTCATCAACCTTGTAAGAGGAGTGCGGTTGGTAGCATACCATAGTTACTATATCTGGGGGAATCGGCATTGGGGATAGGTCTTTACGCCATAGTTTATACTTTATGCGGAGCTTGTACCTAGAAACAATAGCACTTGATATAAAAAAAAAAAAAAAAAAATAGTCGTAACTCGATATGCCGGATTGCCAAGGATTTCGTACGGGATAGCAAAAAATCCGGGATAGCAAATTGATTTTGCAGTAGGAAAAATAATATTCTCAGAGGATCTCGTACGGGTCAGCAAAGGATCCGGTGTACTGAGTTCCGGCATATCGAGTTGCGACTGTATAGTACTCTACAGTACTGCAAGTACTCAAACCTGGGCCAATAATCGTGTGGTCGGTTCATGGGATCGCCATGGACCGGGGCCCAACTCTATCGAGGTGTGTTTTTGCACTGATCCTCAACTCTACTCTACACGAACCGCCTTGACCTTGCCGATTGTCAGTAAGGCAGTAGAAAGATGAAGTCTCGGGTAAACCGCACTTTCCAGTAGTTTCCCGAATAGGCTGCTGCCCTCACGCCTTACTCACGGCAATGTACTCGTATTTTCCTGACGTTTGTGGACGCGACTGATATTGCATGCCATACAAAAATACGCCAAGCTCATGATTTTGGGTGTATGCAATAATGGCCCAGTTCAAAAACGTCAGGAAGATACTAGTATTATTCTTTGTCCTACATAGGCCACCTATTGGTTGGGATGGTCGTGTGCAGAACGATCTTGGGTGAGGTTGCTTTTTCTCGGTCTATTTTTGTTATCGATACGACGAATGCAGGGGTATGTACTCTAGAGTACCGTATTGTGACTTCGCACTTGGCACATCGAGCTGGTCCCAACCGTGACAACAACACCGCGGGCTCGGCTTATTGATTCACGCCTAGAAATGAATCAAGTCCTTATATTTGAAAACTCGGCTCGAATTCCTTCAGCTTTCCCGCGTAGGGATAGTGGAGTACTATAACACTTGATCAAGCTTTGCGCATGAAAAATAAGGCAAGACTCCAACGGCTGTCTATCCGTGGGCTAATAAGGCTTGTTACGATATGATACCTACTGTACTAGACAAGATGATCAGGGTACCAGATGCTCTGAGTGATATTAATTAGCTTGATAATGTGGCTCTGGAACCTTAATTAGCCGATCACTTTAATACATAAGTTCAAGAATTTGAATATCCTAAAATCAGGTAAGAGTCTATGCAGGAGTAACGAACGTGGCCATGTTGCAGGGCAAAGTCCATGGTAAGAAGTATTTCTTTCCATTGGATAAACAAACGAGATGCAATAATGGCCAATGAACTAACAGTATCTGCCTACCCCCATCACTATTCCGGACACGTAGAGATCAAAATGACGGCTACGATATATATAAGCACCAGTAGGTTTAGTCCGAACTATCCGGACCATGGATCTTTTGTTTGTGTCTTTTTTAAGCTCTACAAATTTGCTATTGGTATCGAGATTAGACTAAATGACCCCGTGCTCTCCCATATAACACAACATGTGCAAAAGCCACTTGAGTAACGAGAAACTATCATATCAGTAGGCTTCATAATTTGGGTCATAGAAATTTTGTCAGTAATAATTCAACTCAGGTGCTGTCCTGTATTTTTAGATTAGATCGTAAAATTGTTTGTACCACGTATTGATGTTTGGCCGCATAGGTAGGTACTTCGAGTATATGTATGTATGTACACAGATACAGACAACCTATTAGATTGATTCCGACCGTTTTATGCAGGGACTCGCGCCTTATCGGTCTTGAAATTATTTTTCAGTCTAGATTATCGCATTGGAGTCTTGGGTTGAGACGTTAGTATTGAATGAGGGATTAATGGATTATTATTTGCCAGTTGCTGCATATATGTACATACATGCACTTATGTTGTACTTACTCGTAACTTCCTGACGTTTGTGGACGCGACTAATATTGCATACCACACAAAAATACGCCAAGCTCATGATTTTTGGTGTATGCAATAGTGACCCAGCTCAAAAACGTCAGGAAAATACGAGTAGTGTTTGTCCATGGTCCAAAATCTACCGGGCCTGTAGACATATGTACCACACCCCCTTATACCTCTATATTTTGGGTATTCCTTCGTCTGAACTTGTGATGTCCCGTGGTGCAATTACCAACTGTAGCTGATTCTATACCGCATTTTTTTTTAAGCCTTAGGAGTTTTGCCCGAATGGACAGGTCATGATATCATATATATTAGATCTGTAAAGTGCGCGATTGCTAGTACTGTCTGACAAAAGCTGATCGTCGATTAAATGAAGTAAACTAGGGTTTTCTCAACAAGGCTATTGCATGGAGCCCAAATTACTCAATGAACCAAGGAATAGGTGAGTAGTATAGTAGGAATCTCGGACTTTTTTTCCATAACTTGGAATTGTGTGGGCCATAAAATGCGGCTGAAAGCTAGGTTCCCCGGATCTTCTATCGATAGAAGCACCCATAAATAAACAAAATCGCCTATGGGTTCCAGGGCCACGGATCCTGGTCCTTTGTTCTTGTAGTACTGTGGTGTGACGCTGGTGTGAATAAGAGTTTAAGAAAGTACTAGAGTTTCTATGCTCTAGTACTGTGGTCTAATCTTAGGCGTTGGTTGTTACCGAAAATAGGGTTGACGAGTCTAGTCCCACACCTAGAGCAGATCACGAACTGTTTCTCGCCAAGTGATAACAAGAACAAGCATTTCTTGCTGGTTGTATGTACATACCTATACTAGGGAGTCGGGTCATTATAGCGAGCGGGCCGAGTGCGGATCAGATCTCGAGCATGAGATCTCAAGAGTTAGTAGGTAGAGATGTTGGAAAACATCAGGGGAAGAGATCGAGAGTGTGTCGAAAGGACTTCAGTCCCCCAGAGAAGAGTATTCTCCGATGGCACTGTGGCAACGGTTCCCTTTTCGCCTTAATGTTTCGGGCAATACCTTAATGTGCACGTCCATGGATGATCCCTTGGTAATTTTGCGGTAAATCCCCAACCTACAGGAAGGATGTAAATGTAGGTCTCAGCTACAATGGGAACCTCCCTAAAAGTCACGTCCCACCATGGCCTAGCGTGTGTGTGAGACAGACAATTGGCTACCAACCACATCAGCGAACCTCACTTCAGGGACACACGCACAAAAAAAAAAAAAAAAAACCAAACCTTCCAGGCAAAAGAAATGTCGGGTAAGTTAACCAAAATCTACGTCTGTCGTACACATTCGGGAATATGCATTCTGTTAGTACTAACCCGTGCTTGAAATTATTCTGTTCCAGATGTATATAAAGCTCTCCGGACTTCACGTTTACAGTCTTCTCAACCAGCTCCACGGCACAGACACTCGCTTTGCGACCTTAATACACTCGCTGAAAAGTCTTCAGAATTGGGAACATCATGAGACCGCACTCGTTTAACGTGCTCTCTATAGCACTGGTGCTTACCGGAATTGCGAGAGCGCAAACCTCTGTGTATTCGCCTCCGGCGTATACTTCAGTCTTCACCCCACCTCCTTATACTCCGTCAGGATGTCGGAGCGCATACACACCTCCTCCATATACCTCGACATATACTCCAAAGCCAATTACTGTTTCGTACTCTACAGAGGGATATACTTCAGTATACACTCCTCCTACCCACACGAGGGTTTATACACCACCTCCGTACACGCCCTCTGGTTACAGTACTGAAGTTACACCAACTCCATATACTACTATTGTCACCCCAGAGCCCTATACTTCTGTTTATACACCTCCTGTAGAATATACTTCGGTCTATAGTCCTCCTGCGTATACTTCAGTATACACTATACCACCATACACACCTTCGGGTTCGTCTGAGCTTTATACACCTCCTGTTTATACCTCAGTTTATACTCCCCCGCCCTACACGTCAGTCTACTCGCCTCCGTATGTTCCATCTGGATATACGTCTGTTAGCACACCAGATGCATATACCTCTGTGATTAGCCCTCCTGTATATACACCATCAGGCTCTTCGGATGCGTATACTCCACCTCCGTATACTTCAGTTGTAACTCCTTCGGCGTATACAACTGTTTATGTACCTCCAGTATATGGTTCAAGCTCTAGCAGCTCAGAGGATAAAGCTCCATCAAGCTATATTAGCAGCAGCAGAAGTAGCAGCAGCAAAAGCCCTGTTTACACCTCCCCTAGTACTTCTGATTACACGCCTCCGGCCAGCTACCATACTCCTCAATTTACCTCAGAGGCATTCCCTACATATGTAGAGCCAACCCCCTACAACCCCTCGACATATGTCCCAGGACCTGGTGAAACTTCATATGTTCCGGCCACAGATGCGCCTACGTACATTCCTCCAAATCCATATAGCAGTGCTACAACCGTGATTGTCATTGATAATCCAGTCGAGACCAGTACTTACACCAATGGCACCACCGTTACTACCAATGGCACTACCAATGACACTACCAATGGCACGACGGATGGTACTGACGGCACTGATGGCACCGCTAACTTGGGATTCACCCCCGTTGTTGGCCCCCCAAAGGTTGAGCTACGATTGCCTATCGATGAGCTTCATACCCAGTTCCCCGATGTTTGGAATATGTTCTTGATTGGATTGGAAGCCATGATGGCTGTCGACGAATCGAAAGATCTTAGTTACTACCAAATTAGTGGAATTCATGGTCTTCCCCATATTCCATGGCAATACCCGATCAGTAGCTCCCAGGATCCCAATCGTGGTTATTGCACTCATGCCAGCGCACTTTTTTCAACATGGCATCGTCCTTACTTGATACTTGTCGAGCAGGTTCTTTACGACCATGCAGTTGCTGAAGCCAAGAAATTTACTGGGCCAGATGCGCAGAAATATCAGGATGCTGCGAAGAAAGTTCGACTTCCGTATGTGCCAAGATATATCTTAACGTCGTTGTGACTGGATAACTAATTGAGTGTTCTAGATATTGGGATTGGGCTGCTGAGTCAACTAAGTCTCACATTCCTGCATCTATGACAGTTGAAACCATGAACGTCATCAAGCCTGCACCTGGAACTGGAGAGCCTATTACTGCCAATATTCCTAACCCACTGTACTCTTATACTTTCACCCGGGATGATTACAGACAGACATACTTTGATGCGGGCATAGTAAGATCCTCATTTCTGATGGATTTTGCCCACCTATACTAATTATATTTTAAACTAGTTCCGTGATACTCCTGGTACTCGCAGGCAGCCAGATGGGTCTGGGTCTTCTCGAAACGCCTTGGCGGATCAGGAAATGGCAAATACATATGACTCGTAAGTTTAGCCCACATGTATAGCTTAATTTAGCTAAGTGATTCCAAAACTAGCCGTCGTCAAAACACCTACAATCTTTTCTCGATCCCAACATTCCAAGGATTTACAAGTAATGCATGGGATGGTGGCTCGGCGCCTAATGCGTGGACCAGTGTCGAGTCTATTCACAACGATATCCATTGTAAGCTTTCTGTGGATTGATACTTGCAAAACTGTGACTATGCTGATACAGAGATTTAGCCAATTTGGGCGGAGCGGGTGGACACATGTCCTATGTGGATTATGCTGCTTTTGACCCGATTTTCTGGCTTCAGTAAGAGCTAACTTGGCCCCATATTATTCTGTTAGAAATACTAATATAATTTGTAGTCATTGCAATGTCGATCGTTTAACCGCAATGTACCAGGCTGTCTGGCCTGGTAATGTAGTCGAGCCTCAGAGTGCCAGTGGGACCTTTGCCAGAAGAACCCAACCAGGTGACATGGACGATATCAATACACCCCTTTATCCCTTCCGTCACCCCAGCGGCGCGGAGTGGACTTCGAACGATGTTAGCACTGCTGGAAGTATTTTCACATACGGTTATGCCTACCCCGAAGTACCAGTAGAATACCAGAGTAGAAGCACAGAAGAGCTCCGCAACTTTACTACCGAAAAGGTTAACGAGCTCTACCGCCCTGCGTTGAGAAGCGCTGTCACTACTACACCATCTGGAGATACCGTTCGCCGTGAATGGATCGCCGTCCTGGCTGTTGATACCGCTGATATTCCCGGAGATTTCCAGAACCTAGTTTTCGTTGGTGATGTTCCAAAGAATGTTGCAGACTGGAAGACTGCAGATAACCTTGTCGGTGAATCCGCAACATTTGGAGCTGATAAACCAATGCATAACGTAATTCAAGCAAGCATTCCATTGACCCAGATTTTGATCGACAAGGGAGTCGGACTGGACCCTGAGAGCGCTGTAAGGTTCTTGAAAAAAGAGTGTCATTGGGTTACAAAACAGGTTAGTTCGTATATCAGGTCTTCAATGAATGTTACTAATACAAGTGCTTGTAGGGAGGAGCCAGTGTACCACTCTCTGAACTCAAATCATTGAAGATCGCCATTACGAGCACAGAGGTTCAATACCCAGAGGATAAATCACAGCTTGCTATCTGGGGCCAGCCTTATGTCCATACCGAGGTTACTGAAGGAAAGGAGGGAGGTATGCAACCCAACGAGACCTATCTCGTCCAGGGTGAAGTCGCACCCCCAGTACTTGACGGAACTACTACCGATTCCAATTCCACTTCTCCGGCCCATCTCAGGGAGAGATCAAGGCCGTGGAGATTGGTGTTGTAGAGTCAAGTAGGTTCTGATTGAAACACCATCTATTGTTAAAATTTTGGGTTTCGGGAATGGAATAGTGGATGTTTTACGGATACGATTTCAATGGTTTCTTTTTTGGTTTAATCTGATGGTTCTCTTATCTGCTTCAATTTGACTGTATTCGCTTTTTATTTTTATTTTTATTTTTTCCATTCGGGTCGAGTCACTCTCTATAACTATTTCAAATTGAACAGATTTCTATAAAATATTAGCTCCAAAGTCTTTAAGCGAGCGCAAAGAAATAACCAAAAGTTCATATACGCGACTAAAAACAGTAGGAATGTATGGAAGCGGGTCTGCGGTCGATTTTCCTTAAATGTTTGTCGTGCAAGCGATGGCTGTTGGAGATTATACATGCATGTTGGTCTAGTGAAGGTCATGCATGCACCCACCCGTTCTGCATAAACATCTTAAAGGCGTGGAACAGGTCTGTGAGTAGAGTACATTTCTAATATCGTCTCATTTCCAGACCTACAAGGGTTTCCCTCTCCCAGTGGCGATGATTATACCGTGTGAGCCACAACTACTAGAATTTCAGAACCACACAAAACAGGAGATGTATGCCGGGCGCGAGACTACGTGCATGTTTTCTTTAAATCCAGAACCTATGCGCGGAAGGGGGAGGGACCGCGGATGTGACGGGCAATCTTACAAGAGATTGCATTCACAAGACTTTGTAAACCTCACCCGAGGGTCTACATATATTTAACTGCCAGATCTCAGATGTAAAGATCGCTTGACTTGAATACCGGGTAATAATGTATCCCAATGCGGAATAATTAGTAGCGATATTATTAGTCCCATGGAGCTAATCCTTGTCCATATCTTAGTTGAATCTACGAGTGCCGTGCCCTGTCTGGTGCATCGATTTGTAGATAGATGCCCCTGTAATTATAATCTCTATTCTGAGTAGAAGTATCTGTATGTGGACGGACGCGGTGTTTTAGAGTCGTCAGGACTGGTTGGGTGGATGACGTAATGTAACAGGTCCGAGTGATGGTTTGTGAAACACACGTGGTTACAGGGAGCATTTGATTGATTGATTACTTTATTAAGGTTACAGGGAGCATGTGTGTGTGTGCCAACGTACTTAAAGGGTGCTAGGTCTTGGATCTGGTCAGGGGTATATGTGGCCAATGTGGGGGGGCACATATAGTCGTTCGGTCCCTCCATCATCGTGCATATCATTTGACAGGTAGCTTTATAATTTACAATCTTGATCTGGCTCTTCGTGAGCGTGATACAATAGCATGTTCAGGAAACGGCCCTCGAGGCCTCTCGTCTTATTATTTTGGGATATTTAAACCTTTGGAATTTGGAATAAAGTAGCTTGTACGCTGCGGAATTCCCCTTGTAAATACTCTATATCTATGCACATCCAAGTACATTGCTTATGGAAGAAATCCCTCAAAAGAATTTATGTAGTTCTTGAATGCTGATCAATCATGTTGATAGAATTTAGCATATCTTTTATACATACCAACTATCTACATCTATACATGTACCCATATTCACCAACCCAAACAGCAGCTACGTACGTATCTATCACTTCGTCTTCATCTTCTCACCCTCCTTCGAAAAAACCTTCATTGTCTCAAAAAACGCCTGGACCAACAGAACTATTTCCAACTCATTAGCCAACCAGACGCCCGCAACGTCATGGAAGGGGAGGATAACATACTACTGGGAATCACAATCCAGAAGAAATTCGCCAAAAAGAAATAAGCCCAGAAATAGTACCTCTCGGGTCGAACGGTACCATACATCTCGATCGACGCTGTTGCATAGTACAGCACGTCGCCGTAGAGCTGACCGAGCGATACGACGATCTGGAGTGGGTATCGCGCCGGGTGAGATGTCGCAATGGCGTACACGAGGTAGAACGAGAGCGGGCCCCAGAAGATCTGCATATTACATGGTTATTTATGGAGAACTTGAGAAGGCCGGTTAGAGAGAGGGCCAGGTGAACTTACAGCGGTGATGCGCTCCATGGCGACTGTGAAGGCATCGTAGGACATGTAGCGTGAGTCGGAAAGGGCATACTCCTTCCAGAGCTGCGCAAAGAGGTGGGTGTTTCCGGCGATTCTGGAGGCCGTGTAGCCGAAATAGCCTTCGAAGAACAGGTGTATAAACCCACCTGCAGCGCCAAAAGGTAAGTTGGCTGGGTTACCTGAACGGATATTTTTGTGGTATTTTTGTGGTATTTTTGTGAGCAACTTACACAGCATAAACCAGATAGCCACAGCCTTCTCATAGGTCGTAAGTCTCTTCCTCGCTACTACTCCTAGGAGAATTAGAGTTCCGGACACGATCATTACGCAACAAGCCGCAAATCTAGATATGAGCTCTGGCGTGGTGAGGGTGTTGGGAACATAATGCGGCAGGCGGAGATCCTGGGGATAGTAAGGGCTGTGGTGATTGTGCAAAGAAGTAATGTTCGACATATTGTTGAAAATTAAGTTTTATGAATACTTGATATTTGCGCTGCCATGTGTGTATGGAGCGTGATATATATCAAATAGACTTGAGGCTCTCAAGCTAGCGTACCCCGACTGGAACAGGGGTCCCTCAGCATGGAAGCAGCACACCCGGTCATCGTACCATACCCGGATTTTCCCACATCCGCCCTGGATCAGTCAACCTTAAATATATGTATGCATTATTAAGTATGCTAGAGTAGCGGGCAGTAATATACGCAACTAGAAGCGCATATACCCATATAATATATTGTATGTGCTCTACTCTATATGTTTTGCTGCGCGTTCCCGTTAATCTAATATCAAGGAACGGGTAGCAGCGTGGGTACTACATTACGTGTTTGTGCAACTCCTTCCATTCGCTGTGGGTACACGAACACGAATACTGAAACTGAGATCTACATACGTTAAACATTGCGCCAAGCCTAGCTTCCTACTCTAAGTACCGGGGGTCAACCATAAATACCGAGAATCTGATAAGATAAACACACCTATTTCACAGCAAGATTCTCTTATCAGATTCTTCGTATTTACCCTCAACGCCCGGTACAGTTTCCGGTAGAATTATTGCTAAGAGTGGGTTTCTTGGTCCGTGCTCACTGCAAAAACTTCTTTGAGGGCCAATGGGACTATCGGGTCACGGAAACCCACTTTTGTAATAATCCTTCCGGAAACTGTACTTCATCATCCCGACACCCAACGACGCATCAGAGTTCGACTTGACGGTAAAGCAGGCTTTCAGCGGTTGGTGTTAGAGGAGACTAGGGCTCTCCCAGCGCGGAAAAGTACCTGGTGGATCTTCGTTCTATTGTTCTACTGGAGCCGTTTAAAGGGGGGCCGTTAGCACATTTGTTTATGGAAAGTTCTGGTACTTGACTTATGCGTGTAATCCTCCCTAAAAGAGGTGCAGAAACATTTGGTAAGATACAGTCAACGAGCCCAACCAAGGCTTCGTTCCTCACGAGACAAGAAAGCCCTTAGCTTTGAGTACAAAGTTCAAAGCTGTAGCACGTTACATCTAACGGTAAGCTGGCAGGTGTTTATCTTTTACTCTAACCGGGTACTGCTTTATTCAGGTCACAAACATGTGTATCTAGGGTCTGACCCATGCGGTGGAAAGAGTCTGTAAAAATAATTCGCATTGGTTTCGGAGTACAGAGTCCTATACATGTAGCTATGGGGTAGCAATAGTCGTGAATTAACTCTCAAATAAATTTTGATATTGTTGCCTGAATTGTAAAAATCAATTGACTGTCGCACTACATGTATCCGACTATAACTGAAATTCTGGACATGTGTTTGTTGACAAAAGGTTTAATCATACTCATACGGGTAAATGAATCAACAGGATCAACAAAATATTATTAAAAGAAGTGGAGGAAGAATAGAGGGAAGACAAAAAAAGGAGAGTAAAAAAAAGGAAACCTCCAGCCTAATCATTCCAACCTCCGCCCAACCATTCGTAAAAAGAGACTGAATAGACACCCTGTAGAATTGACGCTCCTTACCCTAAAGTAGTTTGCCAATAACAACTGTCTTTTTAGATTTGTTCGGCCCTTCATTGAGCTGCTTGTTTCCACCAGCTACCTTCCCTTGACCTCCTTCCGCGCTCTTTTTCCCTGTCGTTCCTTTATCTTCCTTTGCGATGACGCCTCCACTTGGATCGCTGGTGGGAACAGTGCCTTCTTTCACCGCACCACCCTTAGAATCTTTTCCCTCGACGATGTTCCTGCCTGCACCGTTTTCTTCGGCAATGCTTTCTTTTGCAGCACGAGCCGCATTCTTCTTTCGGCGCGAACTAGTGCTGTTTTTGACGGCGTTTAATTCGGCCACTCGGATGGCCTTAAGTTTGTCGATCGGTTCAGCACACACATCCTTGTAATACTCGACTTTGCAATAGCCTCCCTTAGTATATTCCGGTTTATTGAGAAGAAATCTCTTGAGTTTTACAGCACTCAAAATTTTGATGAATGAGACAAGAACCTTGATATCTTTCGGTTTTTGCTTATCATCATAATTCTCTGCCATTCTTGTTGACTCAGGCATATTTTCAGAACCAATAACTTCCACGTTTTCGAGGTTCGAATCCGCCATACCCCAGGATTCGATATCAGCCTTTACTTTTTTGATAATATCAGATTCATTGAATACTATCTCGTTCTTGACAAGTTTTCCTGGCACTGTCTTTCTCTCTTTGATCCACTGCGTGACAGCTTCAGCATTGAATTGTAGTAAAATGCATCTGGTGGCATGCTCGTCCTTCACCGCTCTCGATGTTGCGGGGTTGACAAGACGCTGGTCATTATGTCTCCAGCGGACAAGAACTTTGACACCATCAAGGATGAAAAAACCAGGCGCTTCGTCGTCGAACCCCCCGTATAAACTTCTATACGAATTAGATTGCTGATTCCCAGTATTTACCAGCTCCCAAAATTTGTTTGCGCCCTCATTCGAGTAAAAGCTAACATGAGCGTACCGAGTTTCATCACCTCCCCGGTTTTCACTATCACCCCTTACGCCTTTCCATGCAGATGGGTGTGGTGATAATCCCGAGACATATATATCTTCGAGCATTCCACCTCTAAGCTGTTGGATAAGCGAATGGTAGGTGACCGTACTTGGGATGGGTTGCAAGAAAAACTTCCGACGAAGACCTACTTCTGTAGAGGGTCCGCTTTCAAAATCAGGTTCAGCTTGCTGGATTTGAGCCTTAGGAGTGATGGGTTTTGAGGGGGTGTCTTTTTCAATCTTTTGTGTTTGGGGATTTGAGAGAATGTTTTTTGCAGTCTTTTGGATTTGGTGGTTTGGTAAAGTGACAGGTGAGACCTGTGGGGTTTCCACCTTCTTAAGCAAAGCATCACGGTAGTTGAATACCGGTCGTGCAACATCCTTAGTGACCGCGATCTTGGTGATTTCTAGTTTTTCCTTTGCAGGAAGGGGTGTCGACATGTTTAAGTGCTCATTCCTTTTTAAAGCAGCTGGTGGATCAATCGCCGTCACTTGTGCCTGAACTGGTTGTATAGCTATTAAGGGTAATGCTGGTTCCGCTTTGTCGTTTATGTGTGACTTTTCTTCGACTTCTGATTCTAGCTTGTTTTTTGGAAGCGTAATTGAGCCTGTCTTCTTTTTCTTTTTCCCCTTAGACTTAGGCTTTTTGCCTCCTAAGGCCTGAGACTGTGTTGGATTTCCTTCAGATTTTACCCCTTCAGTACCATTTTTAGAATTGTGGCCAGCAGGACGGTTGCTAAAACCGTTATCCATCTTTTCAACTCGAGTAAAAATGCCGACACTATCGTTCTCTGCCCCCTTTGTGCAGTTGAAAGCCTCAATAGACCCGAGAAGCTGACTTTTGTCAGAGCATTTTGATAGCTCTTCGTGGTTACTCTCGGTGCTCCGAACGCCGTCAATAGTATGTGCATTTTCTATTTGGTTATCGTTGATGACCTGCTCCGACTGTTCATTTACGGTCTCGGTCTGAACAGAAGAACTCAATTCTTCGGGGATTAGGTTCAGTTTCTCGCTTCCTTGTAGAGATGTGGAAGATCCTGTTGCAGCTAGGCGTGCTTGCACCTCCGCTTCATCCTCGGAGTTCCAGCTTCCCCAAGATCTGATACTACGATCTTCTCTGATGATATTGAAAGTGCCATTGTCCCAATTCATCTTACCCGGAACTCTTTCAACAAGCTCTTTGGGAATCCTTCTAACTGTGTTATTATCCGGTAATTGCCAATCCATTGGGTGGCCATTATGTGAAATGGCAGAAACATTCTCTGTAGGATCCTGAAATTTCTTTACATCTTCAGTCATATAGTAACCAACGTATTCATCTTCTCCCCCCGGAGCCTCTAGGAAGGTACTTTTTGGCACCATTTCGAAGTTTGAAGCTTTCGGGTTTAGTGTAAAGTTGGAGTGAACTTCCAGACGTTCCTTTATAGTGATAGGATTTGAGGTGACTATAACTGGTGGTGTATATGGCTTTTCCGCGTAGACAGTGGAAGTTAAAGGTGAATTTTGATTCTCAGAATTATCAAATGTTGTCCTCTGGTTAGGACTTCCATTTTGATCGACTTGCGCATTGTTGACCTTACTTATGCTCTTAACTTCAACCCAGTGGATGATTGAAGTTGGTGGGAGTAAGCTTTGTCTTGCAAAGTATGACTTTGGCTTTCGAAATGTAGCTGGGATCGGTTTTCTATCTCCCCTAGCCTGTACGTTGGAGTCTTTATATACCCTTCTTCGTTCTTGGCGGGCGTCCTGAGAATAGGCCGGGAAATCCCTTGCATACTGATTTGCGAAAGAGTTACACTGCTCTTCTCTGTTGTTCATATTAGGAGCATTATGATTTAATGAATGACTACTTGATTCGGTCACTTTGGAAAGTGGGCTGTTGCTACCAGAGTCAGACTTCTGTTTGTTTCTTCGCATAGGATCCAGTTGATTGCTGTGCACATTCCAGTCTTGTTTCTTCGAGCCCTCAAAATGTTTGGGGGCAGGAGAGCTAGTTCCTGGAAAGGTGCTTCCTCTGTTCCTTTTTATTTGGGCAGACTTTTTGGGAAGGCTTTTATCATTTGGGCCAGGTAAGCTCGGTTGAGGTTTATTATCGTGGACTTGTTCAACATATGTCAAGTCTGGGGTGTTTTGTGGTACGTTCATGTATCCCAGGGGAGGAGATTGACTATAATTCTGCTGAAATTCAAATTTCCTCGAATTTGAGTATCTTTCTCGGCCATCTGAAGAGCATTAGTGAAAATGATCCCGGAAGCCGCGGGTTAATTTACTGACCATGAGGATGAACAAAGCCTTGATTCTGTTCTTGGTGGGGTGGGGCATGCAGTGGTGTACCAAAGCCCTGTTGATAAAATGGATAAAAATTAGGTGTGGGGTGAGGTCCTGAATGCCAAAGGGGAAAATTTGCTGCTGTACCATCAGGGTTCATTGCGGGTATCAGGACGCCTGGTTGGTATTGCTGATCATAAAACGGCACCATGGGGGGAGCGAATAATTGTGGATAGAAGGGCTGGGCTGTTGGCATCAAGCCCCGACGAGACGGTAACCCGCCAGGAGGTTGATCCATATGAGCTAAAAAAAATCAAAAAAAAAAAAATCAATAAATTTCAGTTACTAGTCATCAAGAATATTTTACTAACCCGAGGAAAAAGCAAGTTAGTCTAGAAAAACAAAGAGCTCAGACAAGACGTAGATGATTACACCTTAGAGAAAAGGGTGTAGAAGATGGTAGAGAGAAGCTAGCAGAGATTTCAGTGATGAAAAGGTAGATGGCGGAGATGGATCTAAGATTTATCGAGGTAGTAGATAGATGAAGCAACAGCGATGATGGCGGTGTTGAGAGATGATTGAAATAAGGAGGGAAGAGGGAAGTGGGGAGAGGGAAGAAGAGGGAAGTGGGAACAAGAGGGAAGAGTGGGGAGCAAAGGAAGAAGGAAGGAGGAAGAGGGAAGAGGGGAGTTAGGGGATGCTGGTGGTAGTGGGCAATGGTTGATGGTGGGGTAGAGATTGAGCCGTCCGCCTGGGTAGGGCAAGCTAGGTCAACAGTAAAAAAAAAAAAAGAAAAAAAAAAGAATTCCCTACGTAATTGTGTGTGACGTACTCTCCATTCTATGGAAAGCAGTCATTCAAAGCTGGCTCAAAAATTTACCTATTGTCAGTCGTACCATTCATTGAGTTGGTTTCGGTATTGTACACTGCTTGTCCCAATCCTCACATTAAACTAATCATCCCATCACCCCAAACTTCTATATATCTACACCTCATAAACATCTATATCTCTCCCCACCCAAAATATCCGCAAATTCTCTTCTATCATAAATCCAATAGTGATGGAATCTTCTCATCAAAAACCCACATCGACTTGTCCCCCACTAGTCAATACTGACGAAGAAAGGAGTCCATCACGAGAGATTAGCACCTTACAATTTTGGATAAAAGATAAGCTCGACAAAATTCCTCCCAAATACAGTGAATACGATGAAGGCATGAGGGTCATCAAAGATGCTATCCAACAAGAGTTTGCTCCTCGACATCAGGGTATTGTAATGCTGGCCTTATCAAAGGAATTCTACACAATGGGTGTAAGCACTACAGACACTGGAGCCGAAATATGGTCCCGCTGGCGATACAAATCTCAAAATCAAATACCAGAAGAAAGCAGCATAACGGGGAACAACCTTTCTAAAGTTTCACTCGCAGCTCAAGAAATGCCAGAAGATGAAAATTCTGAGTCTAACCCCGAAGGAGTTTCTCAGATTCTGCTAAATAGTGACCCAAATCACTGGGGGGGCCTTGTAACCCCAGCTTGGCCCCAGAGTCATGCGAGAGCAAAGGTGGTATATATCCGATCAAAGTCTCCTAAATCCACAATTGAATCTGGGGATGAAGTTCCCAGTGATTCAAGACTTATTGAACATAAGAATGGATCAAAGAGCCTCTCGATAAACAGTTCAGGATCCCTGCGTGCATCATCAATTGATAATTTCCATAGGGAAGGAAGTTCTTTTGAGAATAATACCACTCTTATGAGACCTTATGGAGACGTTGAGAGTATCATGGCCACAAAAAACTATGAAACCAAGCCTACTACTGCTGGTTTTAAGAAGGTTATGACCTCTTCTAAGGATATTTCCCCTCTGGGTGTCACACAGCCTGACAGCAATGGATCTTCGCTAAGACCTTTTCTCCCAAGAGATACTACAATTTCACGAAGTTTTGACAGCTCTCCAGGCGATGTTGATCCCGCTTCTGCTTGTGAGGTCCCCTCTCAGAAGCCTGGAAGACACAAATATTCCATCAATAAAAAAAGAAGTGAAATCTATTACAGCCGTCTACCAGATATCCCTGTCGATACTGCTAATAATGGGGCGGATTCTAAGAATTCAGATGTCCCGAGAGGCTATCACGTCTCTTCGAACTTACCAGAGTTTGAGACTTATAGTAGTACTCATAAGTACACCGAAAATAACTGGCCTATCCAAGAGGTCCGTGATGAATATGGTACTTTGGCTGGGAACTCTGTGGCATCACCAAATAATCATTTTCCTGATACTTCAAACAGGCGTTCTAAACGGGCAGCTTCACCTTCCTCAGTATATTCATTTAACTCCGACAGTCCCTATAACGACCCAGATATCAGCAATGATATGCGATTTAAAGGTGCTCTACCAAAAGCCCAGCGTGACTATGACGCAGGTAACCCCTATGACAGCGCGTTCCAAACATACCAGCCTGAAAAAGGTATTGTGAGACCCAAGCAACCTAAGGATTTCAATGAGAATTTAGCTTGGCAGAATAAACACATTGGTGAGGTGAGGAAAAGTTTTCAAACAAGGCAGAGTCACTATGGTGAAAACTCATACAAGTTCAAATCGAGGAGCGAAATCGGAGAAGTTCCTGCGGATCAAGGAGCTATAACAAAATTGTAAGCAGAATCCGAAATTTCCGTTTTGTTACTTATATCTTTCCCCTACCCCTCTAATGCCCACAAAAAGCCGTCCAAGGTTTTCGATTACTCTTCCACGAATTTCTTGGATCACTGCTCACACATGTCAACTATAGTTCCAACCCCACTCAGCCTAGTTTTATGGTTACAAAAGAGGTCATCCAAGAAGAGGAGATAGACATTCTTGGCAAATTTAATCGTCCCACATTTGCTGCGCACATACCCGTTTTTGGGAAAGATTCAACGGATGAAATTCAGAAGGTCCACGCCAAAGGTGACAGCAGACCCGCATTTCTGAAGTCGTTCCGTGGAGCTGTCCACGACGGTATCAATATGACATGGAAGGTGTGTTAAAGTATCAATGAGATACATGTGCATGTTCTAACGGCAGTTCTAGGGCCCCATAAAATCACAACAGTATAATTCAAAGTCTTCCTCTAAGTTTAGAACAAGACCGATCGAAAAGAATTCTATCTCGGGGCCAATGCATGATGGAAACCCACTTCAGCAATCTGGTAGCAGGTCCACACCGGATATTTTGAACACTGCCCGTCCTATTCCTGGGGCCGGACAAATTTACAGTAGCCCTTTTCAAAGTATTGGTGAAGCCTCTAATGTCTCGTTGCTTCAACGCCCTGTAGGCGAAGATGTCACAGATTCCGGACGTTTACTCTGGGAATATGATGGTTCAGCAGAGGACCCAAACGAAAACGACAATACGAACCAAGTGAGACTATACGACCCAGAGTCTAAACTGGGGAAGGCGATGCTAGATCCCGAAAATCCTACAATCTCCATCGGTCCGTTTCAACAAGCTGCCTTGTACTCCTGGGTTGAATGCTCGGTTGTTCAGGCTTGTAGTGACTTCCTCGGGAAACAGCAAACGTCGTTAAGAGTAAGCCTCTTGAAGAAAGAGGTCAAAAAATGGAGGCGTAACGAGGTTAAACTTACAGACGGCGTTACTAAAAAGAGGGATAGACCCATTGGGTTCATGTTCGGCATGGAAGTCCAATGCCGACTCCTCGAAGGAAATTATAAGTGAGTTTTATCCATCACCTAATAATCATTCTAAACACTATCCCACTAACGATCAAAATTAATTAAAGAACACTTGTTTTCTCCGGACCATCGAAAATGAACCCACTGCCAACAATCACGTCCTGGAAACAAATGATTCCATCCTTTTCGCCGCGTAGTTTCTGCATCCCTGACTATGTGATTCTTGAGCATCTTCGTATGGCTGAAAGAATACTGTGTCTCTTTGGGCCAGGATATTGGGACAAGACACTTTTTGAGAAGAAGCGCTCAGATGCTGTGGAATGCATAATGAACGCTGGAAAGACACAGGCGGAGAGGAATGCGGAAGAGAAGATGGCAAAGCTACGGAGAAAGAGGGTAGAGGCCGAAGAGGAGTTATTGACAGAGGTGGGCATGTTGTCGACTGCGAGAACATCGTTTGAGGGAGCCGAAATTTAGGCAATCGTAGAGACGGGTGGTAGCATTCGATGTTGCGGAGTTCTCGAGTGGTGAACGTTGGAGGAAGAAGTCAGCTGATATTCTCAATATCAAGCTTGATATGTATGGGAGGTGATTTTCCGTGTGACGTTGGCTCGATATCAAATCTTTGATATCACCCAGATTTCTATCTGGTTTGTTTTTACTTTCTTTTTTCTTGGCTTTAAGCACCCAGTAGTAGGGTGAATATGTCTTCGGCGGTACAATTCTAATGTATCCATCTATATGTCAGCACTATTTCGCTATAAGATCACTAAGCACTACTTACATAAAGACAAATGAATACCACAAAATACTTGCATTATTGAATGAAGTTCTTCAAGGTTGTATTCGCAGGCCAGTGGATAAGAGTATAAGCTAAAGGTGCTTATTCAATAATTGCGGAGTCGAACCCCGATACTGCTACGAGCTGTATTTGAGAGGCTAATCCGAACTCCATATAATAAGTCTCACCCCTTAACATCAATAGTTAGTTATCGGATTAAACCCGCCAACATTTCAACATCTTCAAAAAAGGGAAAACACCGTTATAAATGCTACCACTCTTTCAATAGAAAATATCACTTGGCGAAACTGTATTCCGGGAGAAATCAACAGCCGATATCCAACTAAAATAATGCATGGATTAATTCTTGTCGGTGTTTGTAACCAAAGCAGCTTGGCGTATAAATATTATGTAAGCTAATATTATCATTCCAAATCCGTACACGAGTGATTGGCAGTGACTCCAGCGTTGTCTACGATCAAAATATGTCGTCTGGGTTTAAGTTTGTACGTTTTAGAGTGGTCTTTGTGTACGGAAAACTACATGTAGAATCTACGGTCTATATTTAGTATAGCTGTTGAGAGATTGTGAAATGGTGGAAGGGGTAAGAGAGGGGGAGGCTTAGATGATATATATCGAGATAACAAAATCCAACCTTTGTCATCGAGTTTAAGACTAGCAGGAGCTTGAGAGAACATATCTGACCAAAAGGTAACAGTAAATTATAGCGAGAGTCGGGGGGACAGGAGAGGGGCAACTTAGCTAGACTGCACCGGAAGTTTGCTGCTGTTCAATGTTTATAGCTATTGAGTTATATATCAGCTGGTGTATACATGAAATTGTATAAAACTGATGCTATAAAGTGACGTAGTTCGCGTTAGAGTTGCACGGAACAAAAAGTATGAGGTAGCTAAGAGTAGATATATTCAAGGCCTGTAGGTAATCTTGGGAAATGTATGGCGGGACGGAGAAGTCGATGCGAACCTAGAGCATATCAGCTCATACCAGCAGTTTTTGGAATTATCAAAGAGAATTTAGGGGAAGAATTCTAAGAGTTCCTCGTCATCGAACAGGAGCCAAAAGAAAATATCAAATACCCCAAATTATCGAAGAAGCCCACAAACCCAAACGAAAAGAATCACACAGATGAATTTGTTTCGGACTCTCGGAGCATGTGCATCCATCCATGCATCCCAGAATGCGAAATTAATTCAAGTGTGGGTTTTCACCAATGCATGTAGTTATCATGTTCACTATTGGGGCACGGGCAGGTTTGGAGGAGGAAGGAAGGAATGAAGACGGAAGAGCTTTTAAAGGTTTGAGACCGCCAAGAGTATACGTGTATATGTAAAGCTGGGCGAGCTGGGTTTTTCGCCACCGGGAAGTTAATTTATGTCCTTGTGGGCTCAGATCTGCGGTGAGCCGTGCGTGCAGTGCAGGCTGGTCTGCCGTGAATATGGGTACGATCGGTGGTTAGCAGATTTCTGCTTTAACTAGCTTCTCCTCCTGATGTAGTAAGGCCACTTATTACATTTGCCTCTAGATTCCGTATGTACTTGAGGATCTATAGTAACAATTCTAGATGCTGTTGGGAGTTTTCTCTTTGAGTCTGCATATATGTATTTGATAGCCACTGCCAAGACCTATGGATCTACATTCATGCGTAAGTAATTATGAGATCTGTGTTAGATTAGTAGAGCCCACAGTCCTACAACTTACTATCCAGAGCAGTTCAGGAGCATTATTTTTCTCCGCCACGTCCATTCGTTGACCCAGCTGGAAAGTTGGTCAGTCTCATCTATCATCTTCCACCTAACCTCCGCGCAGAAATTAAAACCTACAGCACCCACCTCTACAATCACACAACCTCAACCCACCTCCCTCGCCCGCCGAACAGTCGTTGAGACCCAAGCGCTCAGTACATACATGTAGCTATCTCCACCCTTTACTCTACTACCTAGGTGCTCCTATACCGGGGGGTGGGCTGGTCTGGCAGATAGCAGCTAAACGTCGCAGCGCCGTTTTCACAACAAAATCTATCAATGCATACCTATCAAGCAGAGCAAACCCTGTTCTTTACGCCCTCTTCAGAGCCTCGGAGAATGGTGCCTAAATCTCCTCTCTACTCAGTTCTCCGCCTCCGCAGCCGCACAACGTCCCCGCCTGAGACCGCGCTACACACCACACCGACCACCGGAACCGGCTCCAAAGCTTAACCCCCTCCTCAATGGTCAAAGCAGCCTTAGAGGTCCCCGCGCAGAAAAAAGAAAATCTGAAACTGTGGGGTTTAGCGCTCCACGAGTCTGGTTGCGAATCCAGCGTGGCACCGTTTCGTGGGGTACAGGTATCTGGGACAACATACAATACCAAGACCAGCCAAGGTGTTTGCATCAGGCCGATCGGGAGGTTGGCATGTGTAATTAGTTCAGTTTACAAAGAGACATCAAGATCATCTGGAGGCACAGTTAAGGTTCTTTTTTTTGTTTTGAATAGATTCCCCGCCCCTGATTTATTTTGCTTTGGTAAATAAAAGTTGAAAAGACTGATAAAAATATAGACTAGAAATATAAAAAAAAAAAGATAAACCGCCCTTTTCGTCTTCACTTTGCGGAGCTGGAAGCAACAAAAAGAGGGAATAATAAAAAGTCAAGATCTAGCACAAGATATGTTTTTTTATATTTTGCTGCCAATTCCAAAACCAGTACATCGTTCCTCTTTTTGGTTAAAAAACCACAACATGAGCAAAAGCAAAAGGCTGAAATATCTATGAAAGAATGAAAAAAGAAATATAAGAAATTATCCAGTAACCAGTAACCAGGTATATATAAGTTTCGCTCTACATGTAGCCATCTAATGGGCTATGCGGGGAGCAACGGAAAAAACAAACTGAAAAAGACCGTGGAGAAATTAATTGGCAGGAGGAGTCCACTGTGGAGCGTTGATGATGATACCCATAAGACATCCTGAGATGATACCAGCGATGGGGAGTGTGAAGATCCATCCACCGTAACACCATCCGACCATTCTCCAGTTGAGCGCGCGGAAGTCTCCGTTACAAAAGGCAACACCCATAGTGGCACCGACAATGCACTGAGTGGTCGAGACTGGGAGCGAGAGACGGGTGGCCAAGACGACAGTGATGGCAGATCCAAGCTCCATGGAGAAACCACGGGATGGGGAATGGAGAGTCAAACGGTTACCAAGGTTGCGCATGATGTTGTATCCGTAAGTCCAGAGACCAATGACAATACCGGCACCACCGTAGGCAAGAATCCAGAGAGGAACCTCAGCCTTATTTCCACCGTGTCCGGTCTTCCAGACCAAGAAGATGGTAGCGAGAGGTCCGGTGGCGTTTGCGACGTCGTTGGCACCGTGGGCGAATGAGGAGGTAGCAGCGGTGAGGACCTGGAGGAAGGAGTAAAGATGCTCGGTCTTGTTGTCAAAGTGGGCAGCGCGGGCGTGGATGTCAGCGAGGTTACCAGAGAGGAAGTCTTCACGACCCTGTTCGCCAACGACATCGATACGGACACCGTGCATGAAAGCGTTCCAGGCAAACATCAACAGGTTCTTAGGAGTGTACCATGGGCCAGCATCGGCCTTCTCAACTTCTTCGAGAGTCTTGCCCTCGACCTGAGTGCGCTGCTTGGAAGAATCAGAGTCGATAGGCTCACCAGCCTCAATGTCCTTCAACTTGCGGGCTTCGAGCTCATCGCGAGTAGCATGACCGGCGTAGTAGTCCTTGACAACCTCGACGTGACCAGTGGGGCGGTCAGGGACGGGACCGCGACGGAGGAGGAGAGGCCCATAGATGATTTCCCATCCCTTGAGGGTCCAGTCCTCGAGGACAAGAAGACGATGAAGGTATGGAAGGAAGAAGACGACACAGACAGCCATAACACCAAAGGAAACTCCGAGGATGGTACCAACAATCTGGGCAGTGTTCCAGCCGTCAAGGTCCAGAGAGGCGGCACCCTTCCAGACGATAAGCATGGTCAAGATACCGGAGGTGATGGCGAAGTAGATCGGGACCATAACCATACCCCACTTGAGGGGATTCTGGCGCTTCAGAACTCCGTACTTGGTGACGGAGAAGAGGATAGCGGCGAATGAACCAGCAAGCGCGGGGGCGATGAGCCAAGATGCAAAGATCTGAGCAACACCCTTCCCATCCCATCCCCAGGTAATACCATCGGCACCGACAGTCGCAATTCCCATTCCGATAACACCACCGACGATACAGTGGGTGGTGGAGACGGGCAAACCGATAGATGTGGCAACTGTGAGCCATGTTGCTGATCCGACCAAGGCGCACAACATTCCCAACATGAGGACGGCAGGCTGTCCATCGAACTGCTCAACCTTGACTGTAATGAGGTGTTAGCCATCGTTCCACTCATCATATCCATGGTTCTTTTGTGGGCCTACCAATCTTGGATCTGATAGTATCGGCGACACGGGCACCAACGAGCAATGCACCGGCAAACTCCATAACGGAGGCGATCAACATGGCTTGCAAGAGAGTAAGGGACCTGGAAGAGACGGAAGTAGCGAAAGCGTTGGCTACATCGTTGGCACCAATGTTCCATGCATCCTATTGAATCCAATAATATCAGCAACAAGCCCAGAATATTGAAGTTTATAATGCAAACCCACCAAGAATGCAAAGAGCATCGCAATTGCGAAGATGTAGTCATAT